GAGGACTCAGAGGCCTCCAGTCTGAGGAGACAAGACCAGCTGAGGATCCGGCGAGGTGAGATAGCTGTGGCTTGTTCTGTCTCTCTGATCTACCAGCATGGACCCCAATAACTCGCCTCAGGTTTGATTTTATTAATAAGAACTTTTAAGATTCCTGCAACAGGATCATATCCTCAATTTTATCTTAGATTGTATTCCCTGTGGATAACTAACAAAGTCCCTTGCTGGTTTAAATTATTTGACATTGATTCTGGGTAGAAAACTACTTTCTTGTTCTTGTTTGACCTTGTATACTCACATGCCACAAACGTGTGTTCTTGATTTGATGGCAGAGTCAAGATGAGGCAAGACTGAGCACATGGGACCAGTGAGTTAATTTTATCAACAAGTGCAGGAGATAAATACATTTCAGCTCATGAATAAGCCTCAAGGGTTTGAGAAGACCCTAAATTCACCGTTCTCTAATGGAAGCATTAAACTAGATGCTTATATCTCACTTTAAAAACTCAACTCCCAGTGATCAAAGACCTCAATATAAGATCCAATCCCTTAAACTGGTAGAGGAAAGAATAGGGAGGACATTTCAAGCATAAGTAAGGATTGTCTGAATAAGACACTGGTAGCACAGGAAGTATGCTGTGGGCCACAAGAAAATATAAGAACTCAGCTGGTTATGGCAAAGTCACTACCTGGAGGGATCAAGGATTTCCTCCAGAGGAAGCCAAATTCCAAGGAGCTTTTGGTGTTATTTGGCTTGTTATATATCAGCTGTATTCTGTTATGAAAATCATGTGTGCCTTCATAGTTTTCCCAATTGATTTTTCCCTAAGAAGGGCTAATAGTATGGACTGATCACTGTCTGGATATACACATTCCAAGTATTTGGAGAACAGCCTCAGGAAAGGCTTTCTCTGGAATCAGGTATCTCCCATGGCCACTTTCAAGGACTTTCAGTAATAACAGTCCTCATGAAAGTCTCCTGATTTAAGGTAAATTCCACAAGGAGACATTATCTAGGTCAGGTGGATGTTAAGTAATAGTTTTACACAATTTAGCTTGAAACCTCCTTTCTTACAGCCTTACTAACTTTATAAACCTTTAACTCCTTTCCTAATCACTTCTAGGCATATTTAGATAACTTTCTGTGCTGACAGCTATGCTCAGCCAGAACCCCAGTTTAAGCCTCCCTGTAATTATCATCATTGGCAGAATCTGGCCAGGTCCATCCTCAGATGGAGGAAAGTATCTTATCAGAGGTACTTCTGTACTCTCTAAGAATAGACTTAAGTATCCAGATTCCCTGCTTGAGAAGGCCTGGCAGATGTGCCAATTAAGCTCAACTTCTTCCTTTCCCAAATCTTACCTCTAGTTCCAGATCTCCCTTTTACTATCACCAGAGGCATCTAGCTATACACAGGTTGCCTAGTGACCAAGCACACTTTCCCCCACCCTGCAGAAAAATGGCAGATAGCTTGGACAGATATGAGCCACAGGAAAAAAGAAGGCAGTTTTATTTTCACCCATTGACCTAGCAACTTACAGATTCTTAACATTTTCTACCAATCATGTTTAAGACTATAGTGGAGCACATGAGATCCCTCTTCTTAGATATTACCCGAATTTAGCCTTTAGTTAATTCATTTCCCCATTGGTCACTTCCCTTTGAGGTTGCAAATGATAATTAACAATTACTGCCTCTCTATGTGATTCTTATCACTCCTTTTGACTCTGGTAGCCTGGCTTTGCATTGCTAAGGGAATACTACTTGTAAGTGTATATATACCCGGAACTTCCAGGGCATGAGAGGATGTAGAAGAGAAAAGAGAATGGAAGAACTAGATGGGTAAGAACTTGAGAGGAACAAGCTGAGATGGGGAAGAACTAGATAGAAGGGCTAGAAGAGAGTGCTAGAGGAATGAGATGGAAGATGAGGAAGAGCCAGATGGGGAAGAACAAGATGAGAGAGAAGGAGATGGGAGAGGAGCTGATATGGGAAAGAACTAGATGGATGAGAACCTAGAAGGGGAAGAACTAAAAGAAGGAATTAAGATATAACTTAGACAACAGATAAATGTAAGGAGAAACTGGGCAAGAAAGGAGCTAAAAATGAGAAAGAGTATAAGCTTGTAGAGAGAGAACTGACACAGAATAATAAAGTGTGTGGACTAGGGAGTTTCATGTGCATAGATTCATTTCTTTTCTTCAAAGATTAATTATCAGCTGGTTGTAGATTCTTCCTGGACCCTGAGAGGGGACTATCAAGGGGCTAGATCCCCATAGTCCCCAACAGAAGTAAATCCAATAATTGATAAATTGGATCACAAGACACAAAAAAAGTTATGTATAGCAAAGTAAACAACATCAAAAGAAGGGACAAACTACTTCCCAGTTAACATCTAGCAGTAGATTAGTAACCAAAATAAACATGGAACTCAGAAACCTAAATTCCAAGGAAATGACCCATTTATAAGATGTACCATAGGAGTAGCCAGAGAATTCTCAATGTAGGAAATGCACACAGCTAGGGAACACTTATCTATTAGGAAAATGCAGGTTAAAACTTACTGGGAGGCCCTGCTGGTCAGAGGGTCTACCATGGCCTGACAGCTCTCTAGGCTCAACAACATGGATGATTCCATGCCCTCCCCCCATGCCTGAGGCAGAAGGTGTCTGACCTCTTTTGGAGACTATCTTTAGGCCTGACTGCCTGACTTATCTGTAGTGTGACCCTGGATGCAGTTCCCCCTGCTACCCATATGGTAATTAGACATTGACTAGGAACATTACAACAGGACTGTGCTTCCACATGTGATAACCAAGACTTGTACTCAGAGCTTTATAATAGGAGTGTGTGCTGTTTAATGCAAATTAGGTGGTTCTTGAGCTACTGTCCCCAATCCTATATATCCCCTATACTCTGGAATAAAGCTGAGCTGATTCACTGAAGTTATCTCCTGGAAGGCTTTCTCTGTCATGGTCACAGGCTGTACAAAGTTATCTGTTGTTGCTTCTGCCCCTTGTCCTCATTGACTGGTGGCCAATAGGCCTCGGGGAAAAAAGGAGACCCCCCCATAATATTTACTTGTGAATCCGTCTCATTCCTTGAGAATGTTCAATATCAAGGAAACAAATGATAACAAATGATGGAGTGGATGTGGGGATAGAGGAATGTTTACACAGTGGCTGTGAGACTGAAAACTAATGCAGCCACTGTGTAAATAAATCTGGAGGCTTCTTAAGAATTAGAACTGCTATATAACCCACCTTTACCACTCAAAGTAATATATCCAATAGAATTTATATTCTACTATGGAGACATTTGCACAACCATGCTCATTGAAGTTCAGTTCACAGAAGCTTGGAAATGAAATCAGCCTAGATATCCATCAACAGATGATTAGATAATGAATGTTTGACACGTATATACTGTGGAATTTTATTCAGGTATGAAGACATTAAGAAAGGTAAGTATATAAAATAGGAAAAATATTGAGCAAGATAATCCAGCCCCAAAGGAAAACACCACATCTCTCACATGTAGTTTCTGTCCTGGAGTCTCTAGTTTTGTGGTGTTAACATGGTGTGCCCTGGTAACCAGAACACTAGAAATGGGGCAGGGCTTTAGGGAGGAAAGGAAGACAGTAATGACATGATGAGAATAAGGGAAGAGAGGGAATGCTGGGGGCAGAAATGTGTTAACTGTAAGAGGTGTGGGGGATAGAGGAGATGACAGAGTGGGCAGGATGTTGTATTAAAAGTCACAAGGAAACTTACATTTATTAATTCAATATAATAACATAAAAGAGTTTGAATTCAAGACACCCTATGTAGTAGAATATTATTTTAAGGTGTGTTACTTTGGTTTATGTTGCATTTGTTTAACTCTGTGAATCTGTGTTACTTTGCCTGTCTAAACCACCTAATGGTCTACTGAAGAACTGAACAGCCAATAGCAAGGCAGGAGAAAGGATAGGTGGGCTGGCAGGCAGAGAGAATATATAGAGGATAAATCTGGGAGGAAAAGATCTAGCAGCTGGAGAAGGAAGAGGACTCCAGGGGCCAGCCACCTAGCTACACAAAAGCCATGGAGTAAGAGTAAAATTTACAGAAGTAAGAGAACAGGAAAAGCCCAGAGGCAAAAGGTAGATGGAATAAGTTAAGTTAAGAAAAGCTGGCTAGAAGCTAAAGCAAGCTAAGGCTGGGCATTCATAAAATTAACCATAAACCTCCATGTGAGTTATTTATTTGGGAGGTTGGTGGTGCCCCCCCAAAGACATAAAAACAACAACCCTATGAGGCTTGAATTGGGAGGTCTTAGAAGTAGTGAGTTTCAAAACAAAAACCCATGGCTAGGTGTGGGATACCTCCATAGAAGCTGTTGGGACATGGAGTTCAAGAAAATATAAGTTCATATTACTCTTTTGGTTCCTCATCAAAACTAGTAGATAAAACCTTATCTGGAATAAAGTGATACAGAGAGTCCAAACA